AGTCATGAAAACAAATGATGTTCTCATGCATGCCCTACCTTCAAAGCATTATGATAAGAATGTAAGTCAATTTCAAATGGACAAATACTGTATGACCTAACTTATATGAAATAAACAAATATATAGAAATCAAAGATTACTCATGATAAGCAAGGGTAGAATGGAAGGAATAAGGGGAGTCTTTATTGGGAGCACATTGAGTTTACATCAGCAGTAGTGAGATATTTTGCCAAAGGATAGCAATTATGGTGCCACACTGAAGAATATGCTCAGTGTGAATTGTAAATGTGGAAGTTGCTGTACTCGAAAATGTTTTGGTTTTAATATTTTCACCACAACAAGTTGTAATAATAATGAAAATGTACCTGACTTGTGGGAATTAAACAGGTTGATGTGTATCAAGAGTTTAGCCAGCTCCCGGGCAGATACTAAGTTCTCAGGAAGTATGAACCATTATTTTTGTTGCTCCTGCTGATAGCTCAACAAACCTTCCCTAAATGTCAATGCTGAACTCCGTGCTGTCCCAATCTGGAGACAAAGAGACAAGACACATACCCTGCCCTCAGGGAGCTCACAGTCTAATGACGGAGACAGCCAAGTGGATAAGTAATTACATCAGGGGATGAAAATGTCTCTAATGGGAAAAGCTCCAACTTTCTAGGGGCAAGGAGAGGGATCAGTGAAGACTTGATGTGATGGTGGTGTTTGCAACTAGTCTGGACAGACATGGAGAGAGAAAGAGGGCAGAGTTGGGCATAGCAGGAACATAGCCTGTAATGGAAATTTCTGGAACCCTGAGATATATGCATGTGGGGAGCCTTCTGTTCCAAATGTCCAAGGCCTCCTGTTTGGCAAACCTCCTGAGTGACTCAGACCCTGCAGGAAGTGCTCCTGGCTGTGACATCACACGGAGGCTGAGTGATCCCATGAATCCGGGGCAGGGGGAGGAGGAGGAAGCTCCTCTCTGGGCAATGGTCCCAGGCAGGCATCTACATCAAGTTTCCTGTCAGCACCAGCTGTGGCCACCTAGGCCCAGTGTGGTGAGGAGCCAGGTTCACGCCCTTTATAACTTGATGCCCATCAGCCCTGTCTTCTAAGCCCACTCACTCCTCAAGGAGGCCCCAGCCTGCCAGGAGTCACAGTGACTTCTCCATATGACCTAGCAGGCCTGCTGGTGGTGCCCTATCACGTGGGCTCCAGTTGAGTTTCTGGTCACAGACAGAGTCCCCATAGCACTTGGTCTTACACCAAGACTGCAGCCTCCACGAGCAACCATCTCTCTTCAGGGAGAAGTGTTGAAATTCCCCCACCAGAAAGGACTTCGTTCTCCTCTAGGGTCTGGGTGTTGTGCCTCCCACCTTTTCCCACCCAAAGTGACCTTAACCCTGACAAGCCTGATTGGGTACAAAATGATGGTGTGATAAAATATACAGGGTCTGGAGCCAGACTGCCTGGGTTCAAATCCCAGCTCCGCAATTTCTTGGGCAAGAAACTTAACCTTTTTATATTTGTTTCTTCATTCATACTTAATGGCTAAACCACGTCAGCAAACTTTGTATAAAGGACCAGATCATTACTCTTGGCTCACAGGTCATACAAACACAGGATTTGACCTGAGGGTGGTAGTTTTGGGATCCGTATGTTAATCTCAGAGTACCAGTATGATGCTGTGGGTTAATGCGCTGGAAGGCAAGCTTGGTTTAACTGTAAGGTGGGGGTTTGATCTCACCAGCTGCTCCTCGGAAACCCTATACAGGGTCGGAAACCCTATACATGAGTCAAAACCAACTCAATGATGCACTTAGCCACAGGGACATGTTCACTTAGTGCTGAGTACACTATTCTTATACAGACCCTGAGCACCTCCTGTGTGCTTTCTCCTTAGGTACTTCTTGTTGAACTCGACCCAACAGTGCATTAACTGCACCAGCAGGAACTCAATTATCACATGAGAAGGTGTGGATGTGGTAGGAAGCAAGCTGAGTAGACCAGGCCATGGGTGTGGGTAGTGGTCTGTGAGTAGACTGATGGGACTACTGATAGCCACTGAGGCTGGGTGCTAGAATGAACAGCTAAGGGTGGGTTGTTGGAGATGAGCTTTTATGCCTTGGATTCTTCCCCGTCACTGCTCCCTGCCCTTCCCTGCTTGAGCCCAGGACATTGTCTTAGCTCCCTTCCCAACACCAAAGTGACATCAAATCATACCCCAAACCTCTCACCACTGTACCTCCATACACTTTCTCAAGGCCCTGAGCCAGCTCCTGACTTGAGGGTACAAAAGAGATCATGCTACATTGCCAACAACTAAAAAGTTTATTCACAAACGGCCCACTCCTGGGCCGGCACTTCCTCTTGTCTCAGACTCTCCACTCTGGATGCCGATGACCACTCACGTACTTGGCTCAGCCCACACCAGGGCGTGCGCGCTTCAGAGGATCCTTTTCTCTCAGTTCCCAGCAGTGAGCTCTGCTGAGCCTCACTGTTGCCCAGGCCAGCTCCATTTCGTCAGCCTGCCATCTCTTTCCATGTGGATGTGTGAGGTTTGGGCCCAGGATGTAACCCACTATGGAGGATTATGAGTGATACTGGGCAGGGTCCGACAAGTGCCCCGTACATATCCAGGCCCAATCTTGTTCAAAGGAGACTTTTAGTTAGTGTCTCTGAAAAGTCCAGATGGGGTGCACAGGGTTCCCCTCCATGTTCAGAGACAGGGCTTATGCACTCGGACCACGACTGATGAATCTAACTAGATTTTCTGCCACATTCTACCTCAGGACTCATCGGGCACCTGGGTGTCTGTGAGCTGGTTGGAAAAGGCTTTCTCTAAACGCAGGGTGTTGTATCTGGGGGGTGGTGTGCCAGGCATCTTGGTCCCTGGGGCTGGAGGCAGGCGCAATGCTGAGGTGAAAGTTGGTGGGTCTTCATCTATATCAATGGCTGGGTTGTCCTGTCCCCGGCGGCTGAGGGAGGCCTCAGGGCAGCGGGGTGACTGCTTCCGGGCCCACCACTCCTTGGTTTTCTGCCACCAGCAACGGGTGAGGATTGACAGGGAGTCTATGAAGAAGACCTCGAAGATCTCAATTACGCAGACGATGGAGCAGCTCAACCACAGGCCAAGCTGGCCACCAAAGTTTGACAGAAGGCTCGGGATCTGCAAGGGAGGCCAAGCCACAACCATCATGAGAAACCCTGATTCTCAAAGGAGCCACAGCATCTTTGGAGGAAGAAGCAGCAGGCTCCTGATCCTTCTCACACCAACCTCCTTACCTAAGAGTGGCCTAGAGCCTAGAGCAGCCCTTCTGGGCCAGTCTAGGTGCCATGATCTGACTCTACACCCCAAGGCCAGGTTGATGGGCACAATCCCAGACTCAGAAAGAAGTTACTCACTGTGTTGTCTGGGTTCTCCACGACGGATCTGTGGTTCAGGTCTTTGTAGAATATCAACAGTTTGGCCAAGTCTGTCCTACAGAAATTCCAACAGGCAGGGCCCAGTTTCAGTCAGGTGACTAGCCCTCTGCCATGCTGTCTCCTTCCTGACCTAGCACTGTCCAGCCTTGAGTTACCCTGTGGTCTCAGAGCCTGGCCCACAGGCTCCCTCAGAGCACAGAGATGTCCTGGTCCTTCAGGTCACTCACTGAAGTCCTCTCCCTAGCCTCCATGCAGTCAGTCCACCCCAGCACCCTGTTCTTCATTAGAGTTTGGCATTTGTCACTGTGTCATTAAGGAACTACAGTCTCAAATCCACATAAGAGACAGGCAGGTAATGTAAATGAGCAAGGTAAACAAACAAAACCCTTGACAACGACTCCACATTGTTGTTAAGTGCCCTCAAGTTGGTTCCAACTCATAGGAACGCTGTTATAGGGTTTCCAAGGAGCGGCTGGTGAGTTTGTACTGCCGACCTTGCAGTTCAAACCGACCTTACGGTCTAGTGCATTATCCCACAGTGCCACACCAGAACTCCAGAACTGTTCCAAAGGATTTCCAAAGTTGTAAATCTTTACAGAAGAGACTGTCTCATCGTTCTCCCTTGAAATAGCTCGTGGATTTGAACCACCAATCTATAGGTTAACCGCTGCATCACTAGGGCCCATATGAACAAAATGGGCTGGTATAAGATAATAAGGATCACGTCTTCTGCCTACAACTGATTGGAATAGCTAAAATGGGACTACAACATGCCCAGTGAAGGAAGCTTCCTGTGGAGCCTCTGCATTACATAAGACCATAGGTGGAAATCTGAACCCCACCCAGAATCTTCTGAGGTGGGAAATTTCCACTTGAAAGGACAAACAGACCAGCCTGGAGCAGCTAGAAGAAGATAAGGTACTTCTTGACAGAAAGACCGACAGGAAAAAATACAAACAATAATGGCAGTCCCACTGACTACTACAAGAACAAGCAAGTTGCTTACCCAAGAGACATCAAGGCAAGTGGTCGGGACCCCTCAGGGCAAACCCCCTTCCAAGACTAAGACTCAGTGGGAATACACAAGCAGACATGTGCTCTGACTGGTAACCACGTTGGTCACCAATAAGGGGAAGTGAGGGAAAAACAGCAATGAAGCAGCAAGCTAAGTCCTACTACATTCAATAGACTCCTGTAAACCTGGGTGGAGATCTGGTTGGCCAGCAGTGTGGCAAGACCTGGGGACTCCTGGGCCAAGAGTCAGTGACATAGCCACAGAGGACTAGAGTGGAGAGTGAAGCATCCAGCTGATAAGAAGTGAGGGCATATGCACAAGAACACCCACACTTGCAGATAATACCCACTTGACCTGGCTTCAATGACTGAATGATCAGAACTCAACTAGAAGAAGAAAGAAGAGGAAAAAAAGAGTAATCTGATATAATTTGATGAACTTGACCTACATCTATGGATGCAGTAGCTCAAAAGAGGGAACAAATCTTTACAGTGCGGATCATTCCTACACCCTTGATATATAGGGTTGACAGGGATGGGCAACTTGGACATTAGCTACCCAAAAAGGGGGTCTACAAAGGCAAGAAGTGACTGGCTTACAAGCTTTCAAGAGAGTGCGGAGGAAGGTAGACTCTCCACTGAGTAGTATCCAATCTGTCTGGGCAAGGCTGATGAAAGGAGATGGGGATGGCACTCATGTGGTACAATAGTGAATAATTGCTGTCAGGACTGACTGTGAGGGATGGAAATGTAAAGGTAGACATTTTGTAGCAAAATGAGGGGAGTGGTTGACTTTGCAGTCCAGGAGCCAAAGTCTCTGGGACCATCAAGGGAAGAGAGGAATGCGGGACCCTGCCCACAGAAGCAGTGACACCAGAGATGGAGGCAGAGATGATGACGTGAAGAGATGGAGCGGCTGGGACTCTGGACTCTGGGAGGGAGAAGGGCTGTATGCTGATGACCAGGGGTTAGGTTTGCAGGGTATACCCTTTGATTGGTTGATGATGCATGGAGGGGATTGTTATCATGGCAATGAAATGATATACGATAGGATGAATGTAAAGCTAATGTTATCCCATGTAAACTATCATATAAGTCACAATAAAATATTTTTTTAAAAAGGTAATAAGGAACATAATAGTGTTGTTAAGTGCCATTAAGTTGGTTTCACCTCGTAGGGTTTTTGAGGAGTAGCTGATGAGATTGAACCACCGACCTTGAGGTTCAAACCGATTTTGCAGTCTAGCATGTTAGCCCACAGCGCCACGTCAGGAGCTAGTATCTACTGGAGTCCTGGTGTGGCACTGTTGGATCAGCACTGGATTGCTAAACCAAAAGGTTGGCAGTTCAAACCCACCAGCCACTCATTGGAAAACCTACACGGGGTTGTGATGAGTTGGAACTGACTCGACGTCACCTTAACAATGACAACAAAGCATTTATTGGGCACTTCCTGTGCTGCCAAGCACCATTCTAAGAACTTTATGTTATGTGAACTAACTCAATTCTTATAAGTCTAAGAGGTATGTTTTGTTTTTAAATAATTTTACTTTTGTTGTTGTTGAGAACATACACAGCAAAAACATACACAAATATTCAACTCTCTACACGTATAATCCAGTAACATTGATGATATTTTTGAGGTTTGCTGGCAAGCTGACCCTCCTTTTGTGAGATGTTCCTCTTCCATTCACAGAAATTTACTTCCCCTAAAAACTCCTATCTAAGTGGGCCGAAAACTGGGGCTGGGGGGTGGGGAGTGAGAGGAAGGGGGAAGTGTAGGGGGCGGGTTTCTAGGATATACCCTTTGGTTGGTTGATGGTGCATGGAGGGGATTGGAACCATGGCAATGAAATGATATACGATGGAATGACTGTAAAACTAAAGTTCTCTCATGTAAACTATCATATAATTCACAATAAAACATTTAAAAACAAACCCAAAAACTCCTTATCTAATCGTTCCTGTTGTTGTTGTCAATTTGATCCCATACAGGTAGATCTTGGGCTCCTGGTGTGGCGCTGTAGGACCAGCACTGGACTGTGAACCACAAGGTCAGCAGTTCAAGCCCCCCAGCTGCTCCTCAGAAACTCTATATACAGGGTCGTTATGAGTGGGCACTGGCTCCACCACACTTAACAACAACAGGTAGATTTTAAAAGAGCACAAATCTCAAGGTGGACTATTAAATAAAGAATGCCTGCCATGAGCATTGTGTTCTTTTAAGAAGACTTTGAAGGGATATTTTTTTTGCAGTCCTGGTGTGGTGCTGTGGGTTGATGCACTGTATTGTAAAGTAGGTTTGAACCACAAGGTTGGCGGTTCAAATTCATCAGCTGCTCCTAGGAAACCTTATACAGGGTCGCTATGGGTCAGAACAGACTCAAATGCACTTAACAAAAACAAGGGATTTTTTTTCAATTTAAGATTTAAATATTATTTTAGGGGGTTCTTCCAAGTCTCATGGTTCCCTCTGGATTCCATGAGATTTTGAAATTCTATTAGGCATTTCCCCCATTTTTAATCAGGGTTCTTCTATATGATCTTTGATCAAAATGTTCAGTAATGGTAACCAGGCACCATGCAGTTCTCCTGATCTCATGGCAAAGAAGGTAGTTGTTCATGGAGGCAATTAGCCACAAATTCCATTTTCTTCTCCTTAACTTTCTTTCTCTCTTGCTCTAAGCAAACAGAGGCCAATTGTTATGCTTCGGAGGTAGGTATGTTTGAATCATCCCCATTTTACAGATATGGAAATTTGACGCACAGATTGGTTACATAACTTGTCCAAGGACACACAGCTCATTTTGAATCCAGAAAGTCTGGCTTCAGAGCCCATGCTCTTAACTTCTGCACTAAACTGTGCCCTGATTCATAATACACAAACAATAAATATTTGCTGAATAAATGAATGAAAAAGAGAGTGTTTGGTAATGAGTAAGCTAGAGGGCAGAGAAACGGTAGAAGTAAACTTACTTGTTCAGTTTTTTGTTTATTTGTTGGCCTTGATCCCAAGTGAGAACAGATAGCAACCACTCCTGCAATGGAGAAAGAAAGAGTAGGCCTAGCGAATCCCACCAAAGCCAGAACCAGCCCATCTACCCTTCCCTCTCAGCCCTGACCCCGCACCTGGGCTCAGCAAGGTGCCTCTCACCTCTCCCTGGACATCCTCAAGGCCAAAGACACAGCTGGGATACCAGGAAGAAGGGGCAGACAAACTTACCTCTGAAACCACAGATGGCCACTGTGCCAAGCTGGTGGTCAGTGTCCACTCTTTAAAGCTAGGAGGAGGAGGAATGGTGTGAGCATGGGAGAGCCTCTCTTCTGCCCAGCCCTGCTTGTCCTACCTTAAAGTCCACTCACCTGCAGGCCTCCCGGCACACTGCCTGGCAGCCCAGCTCTTCCCGAACAAAGGCCTGCTGTAGTTTGTAGTAGCAATACACTGGGGACAAAGGAGAACACAGTGGGAGTGTTGGGACCACTGGGGTCTTCCTGGAGGTCCCTAGCTCTCCAGTGGTACCCCCACAATCTCACTTTCATTATTTATCTTCCCACTTGCTAATAACAACAGCTCTTTGGAAACAAATATCGCTTTGTGTTGCTAGGAGACAGAATACAGTTGAGACACTGAGTCGGTCTGCCTGTTAATGTGGGGGAACCCTGATAGCATAGGGTTTAAAACACTTGAATACTAACTGAAAGGTTGGAAGTTTGAGCCTACCATCTGCTCCACAGGAGAAAGATGACAGTCTGCTTCCATAAAGATTTACAGCCTTGGAAACATTATGGGGTGATTGTACTTTGCCCTATTGTTAACTGCCCTCAAGTCTGTTCTGACTCATAGAGATCCCGTATAGGGTTTCCAAGGAGTGGTTGGTGGGTTTGAACTGCCAACTTTGTGGTTAGTAGGCCAGTGCTTTTCCTACAGCACCACACCAGGGCTCTCTACTCAGCCCTGTAGTAGGAATCAACTCAAGAGCAATAGGTTTGCAGCTTGGTTTTTCTATTAAGCGCTGGCTGAGTGACTTTTCTGAGCCACAGTTAACTCTTCTGAGAAATGGTGCCATCACTAGTTCGTACCTCCTGGAGCTAACTGAGGTGGTCAAGCTCTTAGCACAGGCTGGGGTGTAGTGTTTGCTCTTTAACTGGGAGGTACATTCAAGTCAGGCCTTGACAATAATGTCAAACAAAGGGCAATGGGGCAGGGGCCCAGGAGTACTTAGTACAGGCCACGGCTGAAGCTGGATTAACTCTGCTCCTGGAGTGTACAAGGCTGGGCTGGGTCTCACTCACTCCAGTTGGAATGCTGCTGGTAGTTGCAGTAGTTGGCTCCCTTAGGTAGAGGCTGGCTGTACTGGGCACACCCACATTTCTCCACCATCTTTGTTTGGAAGCAGGAATGAAGGCAGATCTGAAAAAGAAAGTGGGGAGACGCCCTTAATCTCTTTGCACCTGGATGCATGGAGTGCCCTCCCTAGACATAGTCCCCATCCCAGAGGGTGGGCTTCACACAGCCTTGACTGGCTACATGAATATTCCCCTTCACACCACAGCCAATTGGACCAATTGGCTGCAAAAGGTCAAAGGGTTGAAGCTAGAAGTACTGCTGAGTATTTACACTAAATGAGACACAGAAACTGGGGTGAACTGGAGTTAGGGTGATCATTTTCCATCACATGCGTGCCAGCGTAGAGAGACGTGAGAAAATGGGAGTAGTTACCAAGAAATGAAGGGAAACAAATACAATTCCCAACTTTCCAATTTCCAGCCCAAATCCTCCATGCTGTATCGTTGAGAACCATAGTCTAGTACAATGACCATAAAGCTGGCAAGGGCTGTTATATGTCTTGTCGAGTTGGTTCCACTCATAGCGACCCTGTATAGGGTTTCCAAAGAGTGGCTGGTGAGTTTGAACCGCAAGGTTGGTGAATTTGAACTGACCTTGAGGTCCAAATGGACCTTGAGGTTGAGTACTTACCCTAGGGCACCACAGCAAGGCTTCTGACTAGCAAGGTCTACTCAGGTTCAAATTCCAGCTTTGCCACCTACTAAGCTGTATGAGCTCAAGCAATTTCCTTAGCCACTATAATGCCCTGGCTTCCTCCTCTTTGAAATAAGTATATTACTGCCAAGGTCACAAGGAGCTCTGGTAGCATAGAAGTTACGAATCAGGCTGCTAATGTTAAGGTCAGCGATTCAAAACTACCAGCTGTTGTCCGCTGGGAGAAAGAGGAGGCTTTCTGCTCTCGTTAACGATTTACAGCTATGGAGACCCTCTACAGAGTTGCTAGGAGTTGGAACCAACTCCACAGCACACCACCACCACCACCAAGGTCACATGATTATTGTGAGCATGAAACGAATCATCACATGTAGAGTGCACCTGGCAGCCTCATGCTAAATATCACCCAGCAGTGTCTGTAAATGAGCTCACATGTGTGTGTGTCTCCTAAGGTTTCTATTTCTTACAAGCCATAAAGAGATAAATGGTCTCTTCTTACTCAGGGTCCCCACCCTCTCTCAGCTCAGCTCTGATGAAAGTTGGAGGACTCAGTGCTGAGGGGCACCGCCGGTCTGTTCATTCTTCCAGCATGACTTCCATTGATTCTTTGGGGTAACCTGGTGAAAAAAGCTAGCTCATCCTTAACACTTATCCTTAACATAACAGAGGAGTCCTGGTGTGGCGCGGTGGGTTAATGAGTCAGACAGCAAAGCTGTTTGAACTACAAGGTCGGTGGTTCAAGTTCACCAGTCGCTCCTTGGAAACCCTATACAGGGTGGCTATGGGTGGGAACCAACTTGACGGCACTTCACAACCACAACGTAACAGAAATAACACAAGTGGGTGGCTTTGCCAAACCAAAATTAATTTCATGCAGTTTAGGAGACCAGAAGTCCAAGTTCTAGGGGAAGGCTCTCTCTGTCAATTTTCTGGCATTTTTCTCTGCATTCCTCGGCTCCTTGGTGATGCCCAAAGACATGTGCCTTTGCCCTTTGTGCTCGCTTCTCTGTGCCTAATTGGCTCTTAATATAACTCGAACGTGATTAGGTTTAAGACTTACCCTACATGGATATGCCCTTCTGAACCTAACAAGGAAAGACCTATTCCCAAATGTGACCGAATTCACAGGTATAGGAGTTAGGATTCCAGCACCTATTTTGGGGGACACAATTCAGTCTGTAAGAGGCAACCTGCAGACTCCCAGAATATGGGACAAGACATTACAGGTGATCCAACTCAAGTACTGAAAACTCACATGCCTACAGGGCCAGTGGTGCCGACTGTGGGAAAGCAGTGAGCAGACACCTTGTTTAAAAGGGGCAGCTCCAGCCATTGTTCATTTTTACAGGAATGTTGCCAAATCTTGTGTTTTCAAGAGAAACTAGAACTCCAAATTTTCTTGTGAAAGGTTCTGACTTGAAAATTCCATCCATGACCAGGGAGCTGCCACCTGGCAGCCCCTACTGCAATCCAGGTGCCCCCACCCGTGACAGATATGGGTGACACAACCTGCCCAAGACCATCAGTAAGTGACAGGTGCAGACAGGATGGGAAGGCAAGCTCTCCTAGGTGCATCCCTCCCAGTCCTCATGTGCCAAGGCCCACTTAACCAGCAGACTTGTCTCAGCTGTACACTGTGTTCCAAGCAAACCTCGGTGAATCAATTAAGCTCTGGTTACAGACTGGCTGCTGAGGACTGGAACCAGCCGGCACCATTTGTTCCTGAGGTCTCTGGATGAACCCCAGGGATCTTCACTGGAGTTCCTGGTCCAAATCCTGCCCTAGCCTACATATACCTTTGTCTCCAGATTGGGCAGCCCCACCAGCCGGTACCTGGAGAGAGTAGGCAGCATTATAGATGTTCGTGACCAGCACATCCTTCCCGTCCTCTGTGCACTGGCTGTAAGGTTTACTCAGCTTGAAGGACTCGGTCTGCAATCACACAGCAAACATTCAGCCCTCCCATCCCAAGGAGACAGACAAGGGGAACTGCCCATAGTCCCTGGGGAGCTGAGTGACCACTTGGTCATTCATTTACCAAACTTTCCTAAGCCCCCACCTACTAGGTGCCTGCTGCAATTCTAGGCTTCGTGGGACCAAGGGGATCAAGAGAAACTGGTAGTCTGCTCTCCTGGTGTTTACATCTAGTGGGGCAGACAGATGGTCAATATGTGAATAAGTCAATACAATGATTTTGGAGAGTGAGCAATGCTTTAAAAGAAATGGAGCTGGGTAGAGAGACTAGAGGGGCGAGGAAGAGGGGCCAATCTTTTCAATAGAGTGATTAGGGAAGAGTCTCAGATGGTGGGCACAGTGGCGCAACATGGAATAGCAAGAAAGATCTGGCTTTCCCAAGAATTGGCAGAAGAGGATGGAGTGGAGGGGATAGCAAAGGCTTGAGGGAGGAGGGGACTAGTGTGGCCGGAATGTGGCAACAGTGGGAGAAGTGTCTGGCAATGAAGCCAGAGATGAAGGTCATGTCAAACCGTGCTGGGTCTTATCTGTCACGCTGAAAAACCGGGTTGGTTTTCAGAATGACAGGAAGTCATTGGAGGGTTCATCAGGAGGGGCAGGGATTAGGGAAAAGGAGCTGTGGCCTTCCTGGGATCCTCTCTCCCCTAGTAAAGGTCCCATTCTCACTCTCGCATCAAAAGGTTTGTCATAGGTGGAGACTAGAGATATCTCAAGTGGCTTTAATCCCTTTCTGTTTTGTTTGTAATTCATCTGCTGACCCATTAGTCTTCCTCAATTAACTTCAAGTGTCTCAAGGGCAATTGACAAGTGCTCATTTTGCAAGGTTGAAGCAACAGAAGCAAACAAAGGGAAGCAGCTATCTGGCCTCCCCAGTATAGCCATGCTAACAAATCAGGTCCACTCTCTCAGACAGACAGACAGACAGATAGACAAACAAACAGGATATACTCACACACTCATTTTGCCCTGCATGCTTCCCTTCTCACTAACAACAAAAGAAAACCTCTTTCCACACCAATACAGAATAAAGAGCCTTCATTTCCTTAATAAAGAAAATGCCATTGAGTTGGTTCTGATTCAAGGTGACCCAAGTGTGTCAGAGCAGAGTTTTCAATGGCAAATCACCAGACCTTTCTTCTGAGGTGCCTCTAGGTGGACTTTAATCTCCAACCTTGTTGTTGTTGTTGTTAAGTGCCATGGAGTCAGTTCCGACTCATAGCGACCTGCACAGGGTTTCCGAGGCTGTAAATCTTTATGGGAGCAGAACGCCTCATCTTTCTCCCGCGGAACCGCTGGTAGTTTCGAACTGTTGACCTTGTGGTTCACAGCCTGATTCGTAACCACTACGCTATCAGAGCTCCTTACCTTAGTCAGCAGCCAAAAACATTAACCATTTGTACACCCAAGGGCTCCTCAATGCTTTAAAAACTTAGGAGTGAGCACCTGAAGAAGGAGTTCTGATAGTGTAAAAGTTACAAGTTGGGCTGCGAACCTCAAGGTCAACAGTTGAAAACAACCAGCTGTTCCAGCGGGAGAAAGACGAGGCTTTCTGCTCCCATAATGATTTACAGCCTCAAAAACCCTCTACAGGGTCGCTATGAGTCGGAACCGACTCCACGGCACACCACCACCACCTAGCACACTGAGAGCCCTTAGAATCTATCAGACACTGGGAGGGGAGCGAGTTGCAAAGATGTCACACATTGGCTTCTCTCAAGGGCACCACTATTCAATACCATTATCTAAGCTTCCCTAAGCAGCAGCCCGGTAGGTTGTTCCTCTGAGCCCCCAGAGCCTGCAGAGGTATCCACAGAACCTAAACGTCAGCTTTGCCTGCTTGGCGGGGGAATGACAACACCCTGGTGTCTAAGTGAAAGGGTCGGCCCACTCAGGCAGCTATATGAGGCCAGTGGAGGTCAGTAGGGTTCCCTAAACTTTGAGAACAACCCATGGCCACTTCCAGGAACCTGGTGGGAGAAATTGTTCCTTTCGGATTACTCGCTGACTCTTTACTCAGTGATACTTATGAAACTCAGAGTACCTAAGTAATTCAAGTTGTTTCTCAAAGCAACCGAGTGGAGGAGCAAACAGGCAAATGGTCCTCCTGAATGGGACAGAAGCCTCTAGTTTCTCAAAGCTTCAACTGAATGCATTCTTTCTCTTTCTCTTCCACCATCAGCTTTCCAGAACTTCTGATCTGTGCATGATGGGAAGACATTTTAGCTTCTGACATTTTACCCTTCTGGTACAAAATGAGTATGGGTATGTGTGTGTATGTGAATGTCTGCAGGTTATGTGCTTATATGTGTGTAAGTGGACATGTGCACATGTATGTGAGCGAGCATATGTGTGTGCATGCATGTGTATGTAAGTGTTTGTGTGCACGTGGATATGTGAATGTATGCAAGCTATGCGTTTCTACGTGTGTGTGAAATGTGTAAGTGTGCACATATATGTGTATGTGAGAGTTTGTATAAGTACATGCATGCATACATGGGTATGTGTGAGAGGGTGTATGTGTGAGCATGTGTACAAAACAAGACTCATTTTCATCAAACCAGGCCCATCTGCGTTCTCTGGAGAATCCTAGATTGTAGAAGGTTGTTGGATTCTGGGGCTCTCCTTAAGCACTTCTTTTGGAAAAACCAATACCTTATGGTCAATGGTCAACCACCCCTAAACAAGGACTGGTACTAGGAAGACTAGCTAAGGGGTCAAAATACAGACCCTAAAGTCAGAATAAATCTGAATTCAGATTCCCAGCATGCTGTCTAGTAGCTATCGGGCCTTGAACAAATTGTATGAGCTGCTTGAGCTTCAGCTGTTCAGTAACAACAATAACAAGGTACTTTGAGCACTTGTGTACAATGTGCCAAGGAGCTCTGGTAGCGTAGTTGTTATGAATCAGGCTGTGAACCACAAGGTCAGCAGTTCGAAAACTACCAGCTGCTCAGCAGGAGAAAGAGGAGGCTTTCTGCTCCCATAAAGATTTAAAGCCTCAGAAACCCTGTACAGGGTTGCTATGAGTTAGAACCGACTCGACGGTACTTAACAACAACAACAATACAATGTGCCAGGCGCTATGAAAGGCACCTACCATGTGTCAACGCATGTAACCCTGACAATAGTCTCACTTTACAGAAAAGGAAAATGAGACCCAGGGAGGTAAAATTACTTGCCCAGAGTAATATGGCCCATGAAAATATAGAACTGGGGTTCAAACCCACGTACCAAGAACTTCAGTGAGGTTTAACTGAGCCTAATGCTGACTCAGGCCATTGTGTTTTCAATAGCCTCGTATGGATGCGAAAGCTGGACAGTGAATAAGGAAGATCATAGAAGAATTGATGCCTTTGAGTTGTGGTGTTGGAGGAGAATACTGAAAGTGCCATGGGCTGCCAAAAGAACCAATAGATCTGTTTTGGAAGAAGTGCAGCCAGAGTGCTCCTTGGAGGCCAGGATGGCTAAGCTTCGTCTCTCATACTTTGGACATATTGTCCGGAGGAAACAATCGTTGGAGAAGGATGTCATGCTGGGTAAGGTGGAGGGTCAGAGAAAAAGAGGAAGACCTCTAACGAGATGGATTGGCCAGGTGGCATCATTGATGGACTCAAGTGTGGCAGCGGTGGTGAGGTTGGCCCAGGATTGGACATTGTTTCGTTCTGCTGTGCATGGGGTTGCTATGAGTCGGTTCCGACTCGATGGCACCTGACAACAACAACAACAACAATGCTTGTAAGGAGTCCTGATGTGGCACTATGGGCTAATGCATCAGACTGCTAAGTCGTTTGAACTGCAAGGTGGTGGTTCAAGCTCACCAGTTGCTCCTTGGAAATCCTATACGGGGTTGCTATGGATCAGAATTGACTTGACAGCACTTAACAACAACATTGCTTGTAAAATGCATAGGACAGTGCCGAACAACAGCAAGTTCTCAATGAAGCTAGCTGTAACTATTAAAGTATGTGTACCGTCCATTCATGTCCTCATGCATTTCCGGTACAGCAGCATGAATGACTGGTGTCCACAAATCTCACCTCCAGTCAAGATTTTTCTCCTAAGACTCATAACAACTGATCATCTCTGCTTAGATGGCTTATGAATACCTTAAGCTCACCACATCTATGGCAGATTGCCAGAAAAAAAAAAAAAAAAAAGCCCATATCCTATTTTCCCATAAAGAGGAAGTGCCTATTTTATGCCCTCTTGAACCTTGTTTGATCATGTAATTTAAACTTTGGCCACTACATATGAGGTAGAGGTGTGAAAACTTGCTGTATGTTGGAGCTTGATTTCTCTTGCTGAACTTGGTACGCTGAGACTATCATAGGAATGAACCCAAACTAACCAGCTTCAGGATGACAGACCACATATAGGAGAGCCAAGGTACCCCCAGTAGACCTGGAAGTTGGCCTCAGAAAATTCAGAAGTCCTGAGTGAGTTCTGATTGACAATATCTGAGCCTGATCTTGACAAGAAGGCTTGGTTTCCCAGAAGAGCCCAGCCCAAATTACCAACCCAGATGGTGGACTTGTACATAAGCTAGTAAACTTTGGGATGGATTGTATGCAGCAAAAGCTAACTGACATGATGTCTAAAACAGAACTCAGCAGCTCCTCTCCCACTGAAAATGCCCAATTTTCTGTATTTTATATATCACCCTCTATAGACTCCTGGTGTGGCACTGTAGGATCAGAACTGGACTATAAACCACAAGGTTGGCAGTTCAAACCCACCAGCTGCTCTTCGGAAACCCTATACAGGTTCACTAAGAGTCGGAACTGACTCAACAACTCTTAAAAACAGACAGAAACCTAGGAATCATTCTGGTTATTTCTCTCTGCTCTATTCAGATGGCTTTGAAAGCATCTCTCGAATCGGATCTCTCTTCTCCACTCCTTCTCTCATTGTCTTAGCTTGGCCCTTATTTTCTCTCCTCTGGACTACTGCAAGCCTCC